TAAGAAAAGAAATTTAAAAAAAGAAAAACAAACTGGCAAAACACCGCAAAACTAATTCTTAGACTCTTAAAAATATAGTGGTTACCAGAGAAAAGTGACAGAAGAGGGAATAAGAAAGGTAATATGATAAGGTGTTGCTACTGGTGCTTTGGTGGAAGGTGAGTGGAGCATGTGCACATGTTGAGGTATAAAGTTGTACTCCCAAAATAATATGGTTATGTAATGAAAGGCAAATCAATAAAATTTGATTTTAAAAAAGACATTTTATCAGAATCTATGAATGTGAGCTGTTAATTTAGTTCACCCTCTGATTTTTACCTCTTTCATTTCATTGTGACAATACATGTCAAACTAGACATGAGTGATGCTGCTCTCATAGAACCCTTGCTGTAGTTGGTTCTCCTTTACTAACACTTGGACATCCTTGATTCCTTTTACTGCCAACTACATAAACAAAATGTTTTAAGAAGTCATCATAGTCAGAGGCAGAAAGGATTTCATCAAGCTCTCAATCGATGGTATCTTAAGAAATAACAGCCAAAGAATACTCAGCATAGATTTATTCAGCACAAAGTAAAAATATTCATTGATCATCTCTAAAATATTCTGTTTATGTTCTCTCTCTTTTTTTAAAAAAGATTTATTTATTTATTTATTTATACAAGCACTGGGTACAGTCAGAAGCGCGGGAGGGTGAGAGAATTCACCAGAGCCAGAGCGGGGAGCAGAGCAGGTAGAAGGACCAAAGTACACTGCTGAGGGGAGCAGCGGGCGGCAGGAGAGGTCTGCGCGCCATGTGGGACCCTCCTCCGGTGGCCTGGGAGCAGCCAGGGATCGAACCGGCACTGCAGAGGCTGCTGGCAGCCTTGCAGCCCAGCGCTCAACCACTGCGCTACCAGGGGAGACCCTATTTATATTCTCTTAAGGGTAATAATTAAAATGGCACATAGCTAAATGCTATGAGTTGGATACAAGATAGCATAAAGTTTCATTTATGTGTCTGTACAGAACTATGGGAAATTATCTTGTTTTCTTTCTCAGATGATTTTCTAATTATGAACTTTATTTCAACTCTCTTAAAACTTCCATAATTAAATTTAAATGTTAAATGATGTAAATTAGAATGAACTGATAACTGTCTGAAAAGGTGGTTGATGAAAGTTTTAGGAAATCCAGGCGCTTATCCTTACTTTCACTTGAAAAACAAATTCATTCAAATCATTTAACTTTTCTTAATTTCCCTTCCTTCATTCATAAAATAAGAGTATCAAGCTAAAAATGTTTCAGAGGTTTATTCATGTGGTAGGATTTAGCTATAGCATATTAAAAAATAGTTTACTTGTGATGGGGAAATTTGAGATTCTTTGAAAGTTTTGTCAGTATTGTGAAGTACTGAATATAAAAATATGCAATATGAAAAGAAGAGGGACAATGAATGTCATTTTGTATATTGAAATTTTTTTGTATATTTTTGTATATCATTTGGATTCTTTATGAGAAAGCTCTTATTTCTTCTTGTCCTTTATACCTAAAGCCAATCTTATCTTTTCTCATTATAATTACCTTATGTGTGGACTCTCAGAAATATGCAAATATATTAAAATGCTGGATTTACTACACACAAAAATGTTCTGAGATAAAGGAAGTCTAATTGTATCTGATATAAAGTGATTAGGTAAATTTGATTTTGAATCTCTTTATCACTCATGGCATTTTTATTATAACCTTTTCATCAATGTTGGGGTAACACTTAGCAAAGAATTTCAAATTTCTTACAACTGAAGCACATCAGTTGTCACCCTATGGTTACTAATATTTTATGTCGACTTAATGTTCAATTGTAAATATGTTATTCTTCTGTTTGCAAAAAAATAGATTCTTTAAAAACTTCAGTTCAAATAAATGAAGTATCAATGGCATTCTAGTTGCTATTACTGATATCAGTCTATTGATACTATAGCTATTTTTTATGGAAGAGTATTTTAGTGACATACTAGCAAAAAGTTAGCTGCTATTTATGTTCATAGAGTAAGGACTCATCATCTCATATACAGTCTTTTATTTGTGTTAATCAACTCCCATAGTAATATTCTAGAGCCACAAAAATAACCACATATTATCCAAATAATTTATCATTTAATAATTTCAAGAGTTATAAACTCCAGAAAACTCACATATTTAACTCTACCAAAACCATCCTTTTCATAAGAATGGGTTCATAAACCAATAAAACTGCACACTTGTCACTTGAAGTATGAAAACCCATGGCAATTAGCTCTAAATAGAGGGGGAAAGACTGATGGTGGTGTTAATAGCAAATAATACATAAAATAAATAAATCTTTGCTAGTTTGGCCACCAAATGAATGTGGAAAGGTTTTCATGTTGAAGAAAGAAGATGAGTAGCTAGATGGATGCAAAGATATATAAGAAGGGTGATTTAGTGGTTTAGATAGGATTAAGATCCACAATTTTAGTACTCCTGAATGGTTTACTAAATAGTTTTGTGATCTTAAAAAATGTTTCTCACTTTTTTTCAATATGGGAATTGTCTAATGTACTAGTGTAGCCTAAGCTCAGACTATGGTTAGGGATGAGGTGGGTGCTTATGGACACAATGATAGCTTCCACTCTGTTGGCTGGTGGTAGAAATTAAATGTCAGGCTGAGACTATCTCATAGATTGACCTGAAGGCAACTGAGGTTATTCAGAAAACAAACTGCACATTTAGGCTTCATGGAGACAAAGTGGACTGTGTGTTTTTGGTTTTGTCTGGTTGTCCAGCACATAACATTAGCAACATATATTTAAGCATAAAGGAGCACACAAAGTAAGTTTTTCCAAGACAAAATTAGATTAATGATTTGGAAACTTAAGGGCTTTAGGATATGATGGAGCTCATTTGAGGTCATCTTAATTAAGCTAAACATGTTTTTATCCTTCTCAAAATTAGTAAGGAAAGCCAAGATCTATTTTTCTTGTCATAAAAGAATAACCACAAAGGAAGTCTGGTGTGAAAAATAAGCCAAACAAATTTCTCTTAGAAAACATCTGTTTCTTATATATCTGAGGTTTAGTTGAGTGAAAATGATACTTAAAGGATAATAGTAACAAAACAGAGTAGATTATCGCATAACCAAAATTTATCCCTGAAATGAGACTATATAGAGTTTAAAAAATGGGAGATATAATAGAATTTGAAATTTGCCATTTGCTACGGAGACAAACATTTCTTCTTTATTTAGGAACAGCAATGACTCTGTAGAAACTGTATTGTTTCATCAATATCAGAGCATTATGGAAACTAAAAGCACTCTTCTATATATACCACTGTCTTAGGTATTGTATGAAGAGAGCTACCAAACATTGGAGTTATTTGGATACCTAGAATCTTATTAGATGTGCCTAGGTATACAGGTTATATGACTTAAATATTTCAGTGTATATGAAGGAAAATTATTTTGCCTATTATTTTACTTACACTCCAAAATAATATACAGCATGATAAACCAAAATTTCTTCAATAGAAAAGGAAAGGAAAGGAAATTATCAAGACTGATGAGTCAGGCAGATATTTACATATTAAGAATGAGGCCAAACTAAAATATCTGCTATGCAGATATTTTATTAACTGGCCATTTATTCTAAATAATAATAAAAAATTATTATAATGACAATAATGATGAAGCACTATTTTAGATGGAAGTGTATCACTGTGATGTAATTTCTTATTTTAAAACTTGGTTCAAAGACCTTTATTTAAAATAAATGATAAAACATATAAATGTAGAAAGATATTTAGCTCTTTCTACAGGATGAGAAGTGATTTAAATCATCCATTAAAAGAAAAGAGCAGAACCAGAGAGCAATATCAAAAAATCCAGAACCATGAATAACTTCCTCCTTCTTACCAACTTCATTCAAAGGTAATATATTCAGGGAAAGTATTTCTATCCTGTTTAGAACTTAGGATAACTAAAACATAAATATTTAAGTCATCAAATTAGTCACTTAAGACTAATAAAAGAGTAAGTGATCCATATGAAGAAAGTGTTGAAGCTTTTCCATCTTTTGACTTTAGATCATGCTGTCCTTGTAAATGTTTATCATTTATCTTGAAGTGTTTCTCAAATAGTACCATACAGAGAGAAGCGCATATTACTTAACATTTATATAACAATTCTCTAATGTAAAACATAAGAATGTCTTTCCAGAGTTTTACGTGATACAAAAAAATCTGATGTGATAAAGCTTTGAATAATTTTTTAATTGGCAGATACAACTATAAGATTGGATGAATTGAGAAATAAATTGACTCTTGATTTAATTCTCACATGTATATTCCCTGAACAGTTTTTATAGCCTACACAGAGCTCAGTTAGAAATGTCTGGTCTCATTACACAAGAAGCCAAACTCACAGTGAAGTTCAGAGCTAAAGGAAGCAGAGGCAGGAAACAGTCACTGAGTCATATGATGGGAATGTATGGCTAGTGAGCTTTGATAACATTCAGCTAAACCACAATGTTGATTTTGGAAGATTTGTCGTGGGAACCCTAAGTGGAGTCCTTACCCTTTTGGGGTGCATTTGTTTTTAAGTTTCTGATTGTGTTTAAATGGTTTGGGCCAGTAATTTCTTATTAAATACAGTGGCAGAGAAACCTTGAAATGATACCCTCTGTAGTGTATCACATAAGCTGTTCAGCAATTGTCCTAAGTGGCCAACCACTCACCTTATAGGTAAAAAAGTCAAAGCTTCCATTTCAGTCAAAAAGCTATTTTTTCTCAAGCCTCCATCCTGTTTTATGGGGATTACTTTCTATCAATCCTATTGGCCACTGCTCTATGTTTAGCTCTCTTTTCATTGACAGTTGATAATGACCCAGTGTGTCAAAATAAACTTTGAAAATAAAAAGATCAGGGAAGGTGTAGCAGGAAGTCCTTACCTTTGGTGATTCTGTTTCTAAGTTTTTTTCATGTGCTCTTACATTTGCCTCCAACAGGGCTGTTGCTGCACAGTTCTCCATGACCTCAGTTCCTGTCACACCTTCCTATTCCAGCACCCATGCTGTCCTCAGGTCTGTTCTTCGAAGTGTTGGTTCATCATTCCATTGAACAAATATCTATGGGCTACATACTAAATACCAGGTACTATTCCAGTGGCTGGATACGATAGTAAAAAAATTCTCTGTGCCTTAGGACATACTAGTGGGGTGAGAAAACAGTAAGTTAAAGTAAGTATTTAGTATACTTAATCTTGATACCTGCACTATTGAAAAAACATAAGATAGAGATAGGGAGTTGGCAGGAGTGGAGTACTTGCGATTCTAAATTGGGTCGTAGGGCATATGCCACACTGAGAAGATGGATTTTAAGTCAATATGGGAAGAATATATCTGCTGTAGCCCTTTCTGAAAAGGGATCTCTGAGATGAACAGCTAACCCTGGTCTAATATAATAGCCTGGTGAATATAACACTTCAAAGTAGTTTTGTTTTTTTAGCTTCAGCACTCTGTTGGTTAAGGAAACTACACCAAGTTGGTCAGAGTCTTGGGGTAAAATGTTCTTGTGGAATCAACCAGCTAATTCTGTCATAATGCTATTTTCTAAGCACTCAAGACTCCTCTCACAACCTCCATAAAGTCCAAGAATGAATACATATATCACATAATTAGTAAATCTCTACCAGTAAAACTAGTAAACCTGACCCTTTGTTCTTGAAGGCAGTCAATTACTGCCCATTTCTGTGAATGAAGTGGAAATTAAACTTTGGAGGCTAAGGAGTTAGAGTCTGAGTAAATCCTATGCTTGGATTTTCTTGACTTTTTGTTTTTCACATTTGCACTTTGCAATGTTTTATACAATTAACACAGGAAATAACTGAGAATTTAATAAATTTTAATTTCAGAACAATTTTAACCACAGAAAAATTGAACAGAAAGTACCCACCTCACTCACAGTTCCCCCTATTAATAGTATCTTACCCTAGTGAGGTATAGTAACTACAATTGATGAGCCATTATTGATACATTATTATTAATTAAGGCCATCCTTTATGCTCAAGTTCACTCTTTGTGTTGTACAATTCAATAGATTTTGACAAATGCAAGATCAGATTTACTAATTATGTAGTATATGTACTCACTCTTGGGCTTTGTGGGAGTTGTGAAAGGAGTCTTGTTTGAAGAGGGTCAAACCTTAGACAATATCTCTACTTCATAAAGAATTGTGTCCATGAGACTTGGTTCCACAGGGAAGTTTTGCATGTAATAATGGGCTTATGGTTTCTAAAGATCAGGTGATCGTGGTGAACTTTTTAGGTATCCCAGTTGCTAATTGTCTGTGGAAGGTCTGACCTTCTTGTGATTACTTATGTCCCTCAGGATCACAAAACCTTATTTAACAGAAGAATACCCCAGAAAATGCCTGACAAGTCTCATACTCAGAAATTTCTGAGCCCCAGATTTCTCACTAAAAGGAGGCATATTGGTACTTTCCTCACAATAATGAGACACACTGTATAAATTACTTACATGTAACCAATACTCAGTAATTGACATCTATATTTTACTATTCAACTGTTATCATTTCCCACTGAAAGTAGCTTTTGCTTTTAAGTTTCTCCAAAGAATCTCCCAGTACAGTTTTAAAATGTTATACCTCAGAATTCTTGAGCTCTTCATTGCACTACATAGTGTGTAATGGAAAGATAAAATGGGCTGGACACAAAATTTCCATTTTATTATATATATATTAATGTATTGGGTTGCAATGTACACATAAAGTTTAAAAACTATATTTCTATGAAAAGTTGCTTTTAGACAGTGATCCTCTATTGTATCTTTTAAAGTCTATAGCAGAGTGTTGGATAAGTTCTTGCATGTTAGATTCTTTAAATTTCTAAGGTCCAGAGTTTAGCACAGATCACTGATTATATAACTATATTCTTCATACTCTTTGGAATTTTCACTAGGTCCTATCATTGGATTTTAAAAAACAAAACATAAATACCTTAAACTTTCTGAAAATCAGAACATATCCTCTTCTAATAAACTATTAGGATTTTTCTTAATAAATTATTTACTGCTCTTTGGATCTTAGACAATTAAATTTCTAGTGTTTCTGATTTCATATAGTCCCCCTCTTTGCATTCATTTATTCAAAAGTATTTTTTGAGTGCTTACTGTATTACCAGGCACCAGAAATACAATAGAAAAATTTTTTTCATTTTATATCTTGCCTTTTTCCAAGCTTCATTCCCCTTCCATCAGTTGCTCTTGGCTAAAAACTTGCATTGTAATATTTTATGCCAAGCAGGCTGGATATCAACCTGTGGAAAATACTTCATTATATCATAAGTACATCATATGGCCACATGACATTGTAAATACATGCTAACATACTTCAATGTGACTCAAATGATTTCCTCAGAGCAAAAAGAGCATGTGGAATTCCTTAAAACAACACAAAACCCCAAAACTTTTGAAATAAATTTTCAAATTCTTGCCATTAAAATTATAAAGGTGTTGGATAAAATTATTTTCCATTCTATTTAAAAGTTTTTCAAAAATTTAAAACAATATTGTATTTTGTGTCATATCCATTTTTTGGTTAATGCAAGGTATCTCCTTAAACTCAAAGCTATTGATCCATTTTATGTATTTTTATTTTCTTTAGCGTTCCAATTTTGAGAATGACCTTGAAGCAAACATTGATAAGGAAAGATGGAAAGATATTAGTATGTAGGAAAGAATTCAAAAACTTCCAACTAAGCCATTGCTGATCTTCTGGGATCCCCAACATCCTTAGTCCTTTTGCATTTGTTGCTTGGCAACCATGTTTATACTACAAAGACTTTCTCCTATTTGTAGCCCATGAGGTCACTTTAGGTGCTCCCTAGTCCAAATCCCAAGAAATCTCTCCATTCTTCTCTTATCCTTGGACTGTTCTGGGTCAGGATTGATCTTAACATGCATGTGAAGTCATTGAAGAACACTTTGATCATGTTTTATGAGTAGTATATAGCCTGGTGTCCACAGTGAGAGGTTTTCATCTTTAGAACTCTGAACTTTCCACATTTTAATATTTCCAATTCATCTAAATAAACCTGATAGTTCATCTTATTTTTGCCTATTCTAACCCTTGTTTCCTTCTTATAGCTTTGTGTGGATAGGCTTTGCCTATAATTTTAAATTGAAAGGTTTAAAATAATTCAACTACCAGTATTAATGATAGTATCTTATTTCTATAGACATTCATACAATTCAAACTGATTATATCCATTACTTTACTTGATTTTGTTTGAAGAGAATAATGGGGATTCTGTGACCTTAGAAGGCCAATTTATGAGCTCTTTTTCAGGAAATTAGTGACACTCAGCCATTTTCTACAATACCCTCATAGCATAAAAAATTTTTCTAGGGCTGCAAATTGCTTATAATTTATGTTGTTCTCCTTTGAAAACATTTTTATTTCTTTTCTAATGAATTTATGCTGCAAAGCATATTTTCATGTTTCAAGACTATGTATTCTGGATATATTACACATAGTGCCATCATTTTCTAATTTCCTAGAGCATTTTTTGAAAGTCAAAAATATTTTTTTAAAAAATGTTTAATTATTTTAACTGGTCTCATTTAAAAACATTTTATAACATCATGGACCATTTCACTTCGGTAATTAAAAATGCCTTTCAATTTCAGAAAAACTAAACTGCATTAAAATTATTAGTCATCTGTTTGTTTTGAGATTAATTTACTTTAAGGCAACCTGAATTCATTTCCACTAATTGTACATGTAACTTAGCAAGTGAGCATTTGGGGGAAAATATTCTTAGGTTTAATTTACAAATTTTCATAATCAATTTTAAATAATAAATATCAGTGTGTTAGCACAATATAGTAGACAAGGAAATTAGTTCAACAATATAGCTTATAATCAGAACAACAATCAAAATTTAGAAGCAATATTATATTAGAACATATTTAAGAAGTTTCATATTTTAGAACACCAATATTAATATTAATATTCGTGTGTATGCCAAGGTAATATTTTTCTAAGTGATAATGCCTCCCATTGATTTCCCATTTACCAGATAGATACCAAATAGGTCAAATTTGCCTAATGTTCTTTCCATTAAGATAGGGAGAAAATTTATGGAGTGTTTCAGAAACTCTACTGAGGTTCTGTTAGCAGGCAGACTTAAGGGCACCTGAAACCCCTAAACTTACATGCTCTAAAAGCATTTTGCCATACACTACCTAAAGGCAAAGTGACTTTTAGTGTAAAGAACTTTAATAGAATTAGTGTGCATAGAGAGAGATGAAACTATAGCAGTTTCCCAGTGAAATACCCAAAGTCACCCATCCTGGTGTGTGTAAATGTCCAGCTAAAAAGGGTTAGACCAAAGCAGGGCCACAGAGAACTGAAAGCTCACCATAAGTCTAAGATACCTTTGGCAGGGAACATAAGAAAGGGAAAAAAGGACCAAGTCTAGGACAAAAAGAGCAAAATCAAAATACAAATCAAGAAAAAAGCTCCCACTGTCAACTCCTCCCCTAGCCATGTCTCCATGCCTTTACTCTTCCAGTGTCTCTATGTATCTCTCTTCCATGGCCCCAAAAGCCCTGGTGTAAGCCCAAAGGAAAGCAACAAGTTAACCCCTTTCCTCCATGTTTCTCTCTGCCTCTCCTGTGTGTCTATCTTTTGTATACTTTTCTGTTATAAAGCTGCACCTGGATACTCAGCTCTGCCCCTCATTAGGTGGAGCAGGGAACATGGACCCTCCCCCATTTTATGGACATGCCCGTGTTACAGTTCTACTCACATTGAAGTGGCTACATTGTTCATCTTAACCCCATGTGTACCTGAAATAAACATAGTATAAAAAAATAGTATGAAAAAGAGGCTCAAGAACAACAAAAATTTTGCAAAAATCAAACTTGTAAAAATCAAAAGTTAAAAAGACAAAATCAAAACCAAGTTCTTTCCATTGAATCAAAATCAAATTTCTAAAGTTGGAGAGTAAGGTTCCAGATGCTGTCCTACAAGCCTTAGACTTTGAAAAAAGAAAAACAAA